GAGCTGCTGCTGCTGCAGAGCACCGCGGAGCAGCTGCGCCAGACGGCGCTGCAGCAGGAGGCGCGCATCCGCGCCGACCAGGACACCATCCGAGAGCTCACCGGCAAGCTGGGCCGCTGCGAGAGCGGCCTGCCGCGCGGCCTCCAGGACGCCGGACCCCGCCGCGACACCATGGCCGACGGGGCCTGGGACTCGCCCGCGCTCATCCTGGAGCTGGAGGACGCGGTGCGCGCCCTCCGGGACCGCATAGACCGCATCGAGGTGAGTGCCGCGCGCCGTCGGGGAGCCGCCGGGGTGGGAGGGGCCGCCGCCCGCGTGCAAGGGCGCCAGGTGCCCGCGCCACACCCGCGGATCTCCTCGGGTCTCCTGTCTGTGTAACCGGGAGGATCTTTCCGTGCGGGCGAGGCGGGAGGGTTGCTGTCAGGAGCAAGCAGGTGTCTGGAACCGTGACAGCGGCACCTGGAGCGCGCCACAAAGACTCAGCCCTTTTCTCTCCATGCACCTCCCTGAGTCTCAGTTTCCGCGACTGTAAAATGGGTATAACGGCGTCCCCTTGTAGTGGAAATTGAACGTGTGTGGAAATGCTTGGCACGTATGAAGATCTCATTAAATGTCCGTTTCCTTCCCCACGAACCCCCAAACAGCTCCAGTCCCACTCCTCGGTCAGGTGAGAAGAGGCACTGGCCAAGACTCAGAGTTCTCCTCGCATGCCAACCAGCCGAGAACACAGTGCCCATAAGACAAACCTGGGTGCCCCTCACCCTCTCTCACTCTTGAATGGGCTGGGGCTGTGGATCTGGCGGAAGCAGCTCAGAGGCCAGGTCCAGCCTCAGATACTTGGAAGGCCACAGCTACTGGGTGGGGAATGGATGGCCATGGGGGACCCACCCTGCCTCCTAACCGTCACCTTTTCCAGATTTTCCCAGCTCAAGTTCTGGGCCAGGCATGGGTGGTCCGAGGCAGCAGCCTGCTTCTCTTGGGTGTGATCCTGGGCCAGTCACTTCTCCTGTGGAGTTCCGCCACCTCCTTCCTTCCTGTAAGAACAAATGTGTGGTCTCCAGAAGTGTAGGTCAGACAATCAAACTGGGCCAAACAAACAGCAGGAAGACCCTGGCCACCCCCAGGCATGGAGGTGGACCACAGGAAGGGGGTAGCCTTGTGGAAAAGGGGGGGAAAGTTATGGCACCTCCGCTTTCCAATCTGAGTGCCACCAGGCAAGGCGAGGACACAGAGGGGAAGGAAGTAAATGTGGGGCCCCCAAGCTCCTTCAGTGAAATTCCAGGGCAAGCAGCACAGGGGATGCCCACCAGAGGGTTGGCGATGCCCCTGACCAGCAGTCCTCTAGTCCGCTAAGGGCAGAACCCACCCCAGGGTGTCAGAGTCATGGCTCACAGCACTGCGGCCGCCCTCTGATCCCCTTACAGGTGGGAAAACCCAGCTAAAAACCTCCCCAAGTGAGAAGAGAGGGAGGAAAGCCAGTCCAGCACCCTCTCCCCCGACTCCACCTGGACAGTGCAAGGAAATGACCAGGGATAAGCTCAAACTCCAAAGGGAAAGGGAGCCTTGGTTTCTTCACCTGTGAAATGGGCATAACAGTAGCATGTGCCTCACCAGGTGGCGGAGGATTGAGTGAGTCTACCTGATGCGAAAGGACCCAGAACCGTCCCTGGCACAGAGGCACGCTCAGGCAATTTGAGTGATTGCTATTCTGATCATTGTGCTATAATATAATCAATTTTGAAAAAAGCAACCAAAAATGGAAACAAACTCTTCTTTTAGGAAAACAGACTTTATTCATGTTAAATAATTAATGTCCAGTCGACGTCCTTTGGCCTCTCTTAGCCCCCACCCCCATGCCCAGACGGCACGGGCATCTCCTCCCATGTGTGGGCTGGCAGGCTGGGCTGGCCTGGATCTGTTCCCCAGCACCCGCTGCTCTTGGCAGGGGGGGCTCCCCTCGGGAGATCCCACTGAGGCCGGGGGATCCTGGCGGCTGGGTTCTGGCGGCAGGTTGGCCTCCAGGCAGGGGGCCCGGCTTCCCCACATTCACCTTCTCATTTTTTCTGTGTGGTGGACAGGAAGAAAGAAAGGCGGGTGGCCGCCTGGCGGCTGGGGCTGTCTTCTGAGCCTGGCGGGGGCCAGAGCCAGTCTCGGGGGGCCTTTGGCAGGGCCGCAGTCTGGAGCCCATGGATATGGGGCCAGGCTCCGCTCTCAGGTGGGACCATGAGGCCAGCGTCTAATTCCTCACTTCTCTTCCCATTCAGTATCTTCAGGAAGCCCCCAGATTTTTCAGGGTCTACCTCTTCTGCCACCAATGTCCTAAAAGTGCTCTTGCTAATGTCCCCAGAGTTGATAAGCCGCATAGAGACTTTCCTTTCCTTCCTGGGCCTGACTTCTGCCTCTCCCCCCGCCCTCTGCCTGCTCTGCCCGGCTCCTGTCTCCTGGCAGGGGCCACCTCCTGCGTGGTGTGTGCCCCTCTCGGCTGGCCTGTCCCTTTCCCTGCGTGAACCCAGCCACATCTGGACGCTTCCAGCACCTTTCCACAGTGGGCCAAACCAAATCTCAGTTCTGGGGTGAGGACACCACCTGAGCTCCTGCCCCTGGCCTCCCCCTCCTGACCGCCCCCGTTCTCCCTGCTCCGGGGGCCTCCTCGCTCTGGACTCATCTCCCCTGCACCTTGTGGCAGCCTCTTTGCTAGTGTCCCACCTCCAGGTCCCCCCTCCTCCAGGCAGCCCCAGGGGTCCCCCTTATGTCGCTAGAGGGGCTCCTCTGGGGTGCAGACTCCAGGCTGCAGTTTGGGGCTCAGCTGTGCTTCCAGCCTCGCCTCCAGCTCTTCCTACCTCTGCCTGGTTCACCCCAGCACTTCCTGCTCCCCATCTAAGAGTCCGTCCTGAGGTCACCTCCTCCCAGAGGCCTCCCCGATCATGCTCTGCCCACCCCACACCATGCGGTCCCTGCCCACCATCACCCATGCCTCTTGGACTCCCCTCCCCTCCCAGCCACACGCGACTAGAACCTTCTCCCCATAGACCTCAGGTGGCAGCCACATTCGAAAACTCAGGCGAAACCATCTTCTTGTGTGTTATGTACACATGTATTTATTTATTGTTGTTCATTGAAAAAAAAGTCAAAGGTTTGGGGGGGATTTCATTTATTTCCATTTTCTCCCCTTCTGCAGCCCCCCTAAGTCCCAAACCTGCGCAGTGCGCTGCTGTGCAATTAGCATGTTAATGACTGACAGTTCCCTGGGACTCACCTTCCAGCGCTTTCTCTCCGCGGTCACTTGACCGGCTCCTGTTGCTGGGCTGTTGCCATGGGCTGTGTCTACTTGTTTTCCTTCTAGATTCTCATTGTCACGTCAACTTGAGGCACAGTGGCTTCTTTTTTAAGTCTGTTGAATCATTTCTCTCACTGAATTCCCAGGAGTCGCATTACTAGGTCAGAAGATATTGACTTGGATCCTGGGGTTGGAACCCAGGACCTCACAGGCGCTAGGCAGGTGCTCACCACTGAGCTACATCCCCAGTCCCTTTCTTTTTTCTTTTTTTCCTTTGTGGGGCTGGGGATTGAACCCAGGGCCTTGTACATGCGAGGCAAGCACTCAACCAACTGACCTATATCCCCAGCCCTGGCGTCAAACTTTTGATCTCCTGCCTCAGCCTCCAAAGTAGCTTTCCAGCCTCCGATTATAGGTGTGTGATTTTTTTTTTTTTTAATGGCTCTGGCCAAGAACTACTTTCTAAGAGAGTTAGACCATTTACGTGGCAACTCACTGTGAATGCATGTCTCAGTATTTCATTTTTGTGCTAATTTATGTGCACAGTGAAACTTCAAGGCTGACTTAGCGTTTCTTTGACATAAGCCCCACCCTTAACCCAGACGGCAAGATGATTGCCTTCCCCCATCCTGAAGTAGGAGCCATAGCAAGGAATATCCTGCTGCTGATCACAGGAGACGTTGGATTCAGGGAAGCCACAATTTCTGCTGTATCAAAAATCAGTGCTAGTGCCAGGGGTGGTGGCGCACGCCTGTAATCCCAGCAAGCCCAGGAGGCTGAGACAGGAGGATCATGAGTTCAAACCCAGCCTCAGCAAAATGAGGCACTAAGCAACTCAGTGAGACCCTGTCTCTACATAAAATACAAAATGGGGCTCAGTGGGCGAGTGCCCCTGAGATCAATCCCTGGTACCTGCCAAAAAAAAAAAAAAATCAACGATAGCAATTATAAATCACAGTTACTGAGCACTTACCCTGCATCAGGAACTATGCATTATCTCATTTAATCCTTATAAAATCTCTATGGGGAAATTCTATTCTATCCTCCTTTTACAATGAAACAGCTGTTTAGAGAGGTTAAAAAATTTGCCCCAGGTCCCACAGCAGTGGAGCCTGGATTTGATCCATGCAGTGTCTGGCTCCAGAGCCCAAAATTCTTTATGATTAACGCCAGACTCATCTGCAGGGGTCAGATCTCATTCACCTGCAAGAAAGAAAGACAAGTGAGGGCAGTGCCCATTGCTGGGTACTGTGCTAGACCATGTTGGCCTTAGAACACTCAGAACAAGAGAGCGCCAGGCCAGAGCTCAAAGGCACGTCCTCCAGCCGTTGAAGTAATCCGGGGCCTCCCTGTGCTGTTTATGATAATGGCAACTTGACGGGGCACTTGCAACATACCTATTGGCTTGTCCAGTCTTCAGTCCTATGAAATAGGCCACACGCAATCCCATCTTACACAGGGGGCCTGGAGGCTCCGAGTCTGAGGGGCACACCCACACCGGGGCCAGATGCTCCCGGACCCCCTTCCAGCTCCAGATAACTTCTGCTGTGGAAGGCTGCTGGGCAGGGCTGAGGCCTTGCTTGTGACTCTCCTTTTCCGGGCCTCAGTGTCCTTGCCTGTAAGATGAGAGGAGGGGGCTAAGTGAGGCCCACACTGGGGTCCCTGAACCTCCCACTCCAGCTGATGGTGGCCCTTCGCTCTAGGAAGAAGCCTGATTCTAAGTTTCTGCATTTGTTTTCTGTGGTGCTGGGGGTTTAACCCAGGGGAGCTCTACCACTGGGCCACATCCCTGGCCCTTATTTTTTCAAGATTGCATCTCACTCATTGTCCAGGCTGGCTTCGAATTCGCCATCCTCCTGCCTCAGCCTCCTGAGCCACTGGGATTACAGGCCAGGGCACCTGCTGAAGCCTGGCTTCTTAAATCCCATCTCTCCCACCTGCTTCCTGTGACCTCGGAAAACTCCTTCTCCTCTCTGACCCCCAG